TGTGCACACCCGTGTACATTCCCCAAACGTAAGGTGCTGGTCCATTGACCCACTTATCTTGTAACATTTGCCATATATGTGTGATTGCAGAAACAGGAGAATACAGGTCAAGGGAGGCAATTCCGAACCAGTTTTACGACTGGGGGGCTTTTTTCGTGATCTAATAGGGTGCCCACCCGAGCCAGCCCGAGTTAGTCCCGAACTCACCTTAAATTCCTCTATCATCGGTTGGTCTACCTTCTCTTATTTTTGAGCAAGGTTATCGAGAGAGCGATCTCAAGTCCCAGGTTCCCCTGAAACCGGAGACATGTGCCTCCTGATCATCTAGATCAGAAGGGCGAGATCAAGACACCTAACCAACAGGTTCTCTGGTTACTATACATGGACGACATAATTATCTCTGGTAATGTTATGGGCACAATTCATAAAATCAAACAAAAGCTCAATAATGCCTTTGAAATGAAAGATTTAGTTTTTTGCAGTATTTTCTTGGACTCGAAGTTGCTTATTCTCCTTGTGGCTATCTGCTGTCACAGCTTAAAATATGCTTCAGGGATTGTTTCTCAAGCTTGACTCCAGAATGATACAAAAAAGGTTGATACCCCTCTTGAGGTCAAGCCAAATTTCGAGCTACCAATGGTGAAGCTCTTCCTAACCCAACCTTTTATAGCTAACTAGTTGGGAAACTGATACATCTAACTATTTCACGCTCCAATATTGCTTATGCAGTACATATGGTTAGTCGGGTTTTAGTGCCCCACATTCTTTATATTTCGTTGTTGTTTTACACATCATTCGTTATATCAGGGATATTCGTCACCAAGCCTTATTCTTTTCCTCTTCCACCTCACTTGAGCTCCGGGCATAAACGGACTCCGATTTTACGAGAAATCCAAGTGATCTCAAATCTATCACAGGATTCTACATTTTTCTTGGTGATTCTCTCATCTCTTAGAAAAGCAAGAAACATAAACGAATTGCTCAATCAACTACCAAAGCTCAATACTAGGCTATGGAACATACCACCACAAATATTGTTTGGCTACGTTGGCTGCTTACAGACATGTGTGTCACTATCTCCACTCCTATTCCACTTTATTGTGACAATAAGAGTATCATTCATATTTCTAAAAATCCAGAATTTCATGAGAGCACGAAACTTATTGAAGTTGATTGCCACTATGTTCGACAATAATATCTAGCGGGCACAATTTTCGTGCCATATGTGCCTATTGCAGCACAACTGGTCGTTTCTTCACTAAGTCTCATCCCTCGCATCCTTTTTCACAGTTTGTTTTCAAACTATCTATGATTCCTCGCAAATCATCTCAAGTTTGAGGGGGAGTGTAAAAAGTTATAAAACTGTACATTCATGTATAAATCCGCCAGTGTAAATCAAGTTGGTAAGATAATAGAAAGAATATCTTCTACAATTTCTATATGTGCCCTCTCTTCATAGTCGTGGGAGGCAAGGCACACAGGGGATAGG